GATGTGTTTTACATTGATTTAATTTTTTTGATGTAGTTTAAATGAATTGTTAATTATTGATTAACAATAATGATTAATTATTGGATTGTTAATTTAGTGTTGTAAAAGGCATTGTAATTTTAATTCTGTATTACAGTTATTATATCATTGTCTTTGTAGAAAATACAGCATAGAAATAAACTGGTGATAAAAATAATAATGGGTAACAGTAAGGAAATTAGATATGTACAACTAGCAGCAGCATAGCTAAACTTGGAAAAGAGAAGGAGAAAGCTAAAAAAAAAGAGAGGAAAGGTAGGGACCAATTGTATCTCTCCTAGGCCTAGTAGAAAGAGGGAGGAGCTGAAACCAGAGGACGTCCTTATCACTCGACTGACAATAGTTCCTAGGATTCATTGTGATTGGGAGCTGGGACGACTTGAGCTTGGAAAGCCCATGAAGCCTATAATGTTGTAATGCTTCCCTGGGTGGACTTTGGTAGGGAAGTGGGTAGTGATGGGATACCTAACTGAACTGAGTTATTAAAAGAACAAAAACAGAGAAGGGAGAGGAATGCTGGGAACAGAGGAGAATGGGAGGCAAATTAACTAAGCAGTGGGCTTGGAGCAGCCTGAATGTCCCACAAAGTAAGCTTCCTTCTGGACTCACACAGAGGGCTCTGTGAGTGTACACTCAAGACAGCTTACAATGTTTTTCACTTTTGGTAGAAATGGATGAAATTTGCAGGCATAGTTTCACCTTTTGAGGATATGAAGCCTGCCAAACAGGCAAATAGCTGCAGTTTTTGGTGTGCAAGGGGAGTGATTGTTTAATTGGGGGTGGGATGAGGAAAGGAGGTCCTTGTGGGGATTTTAAGGGGGGGTTGTATGAAAATGGCATATATCATAGAGGTCTCCTAGATAACCTGCAAAATTTCAGATGGACAGAGTTCTGAGGCTGAGTTCTGAGGAATAAAAAAATAGTCTGAGGGTTGATTGTTATTTCTGACCAGTTTACAGCAATTTCTCCCAAAGGCAAGGTGGAAGTAAAAAGGAGCATCCTGAGAAAGTCATTGCCTGGTTGGAAGCTAAAACTGCCAGTCACAAAACTACATCCTTTCATTTCCCGCCCTATGTAATATTTGCCTTATATAGTGTTGAACATGTACATTTTACAGATGCACTGTCTCTGTGTATCTGTAAATCAGTCCTGAAGCTTTTGGAAGAGCCCAGTTTTGTCTTTTTTGCTGCAGAGGACACCACCTCAGTTTGGGCAAGTCCCAAATCTTTGAAATAGCCTCACTTTGGCTAGGGGTTCACACATTCTCCCACAAACTTGTTTTTTCCTTCAGTATTTCAGGAGAAACTATGTCATTAAAAACACCCATTAAAAAGCAGTGAGCAAATTCTGTTGATTGAGCAAAATGCAATAGTTCAAAATCCTGTTTCCTCCCCCATTGTTCCCTCTTCCGCCATCTGCTGCCACCTATGCCCTTCTGTGGCAGATCATATGAGATAATGAAAGACATTATTGTCAGTCCCACATCAAACAATGATGGCTTCAATCCTCTAACTGCTTCAGTCAGGAAAAGATGTAGAAACAGTAAAGGCTTCCTGTTGCTAAAAATGTTCCTAATACACATGAGTGCTGGGGTGGATTTCTGAAGTCTGCAGTGTTTTAGAAAGTAAAGCAAAAAGTGATTTTAAGTTCCAAGTGTAGCATTTCGTTTTTGTGGGTGAAATGTACATTTGTGTGCCCTCCCTTCATCTAGTACAGTACATGCTCTTGGGGAAGAAGTAAATAGATAAAAGGAAGTACAATCTAAAGGGAATTGCAAAAGAAGCAATTTTATCTTGCCAGTACAGTTTCTTCAGCTCTGTGTTTTTTATGGCCATGATGTGCTTCATTACTTGTACTCTCCTGGCACTTATCTTCTAAATGTAATCAAGATCTCTTCATATTGTCTCTAAGAGCTCATTAGAATAATAGATCAACAAAAGGGATTTATGCACTTGAATTTCACACAGGTAAATCTTTTATGGTTCCCTGATAAAAGTGAGAGCCATTTTGTTACTTAATTACGAAAAGCGTAACCTCGTTTGAACTTTCTGTAGCATGGAGCCACTGAGGCTGACACTTCGGATGGCATTTGCTTGTGGGTTGATGAGCTCTGAGAGTTAAACCAAGCCAACTATCAAAGCTTAGGCACTTTCTAAGGTTCCCTATATCTAATTACTACCAGGAAAAAGTTTTCTCCTGAGAGGAACCACTTTCATTCTATATCTGACAGGTAGAAATTAGTTGCCTAATGGAATGGAATTGTTCTGCAAATTGAAGGAATTAAGTGGGCTTTTTTTTAATTTGGACTCCTTCTAAATTAGATTTTAATTTGGATTCTAATGTGACGAGGTTGATGGTGTGAAGGAGCTTGGGTTGGATCTTCTCCAGTAATTTTATATTACTCTCCCCCCAGATTTCATATGTCTCTTATTTCCTCTGGACTTTTCTTAGTCTCTGAAGCTATTATGCTTATATGTTGAACTTAATTAATAAGTTTGTGTGTGTGCAGAACGGAGCCAAATGTGTGGAGTTTTGTTTTCATTCATGTTTATGGCTGCTTGTAGTGGCATGGACTTACTCCATTCCAATGCACCTAAATTAACCCTGGACCGTCGTACCAGAGGCAAAGGAAGATGCACACACACACACACACACATATCTATCCCTTCCCTCTCAAACTCTAGCTGTTTCCACAATTTGGTTTCATTTTTTTTAGAAAAAAAAGGAAGAAAAAGCTCTTATTGCAGGGGACAGGGATTGCTGAGGGCACAGAGGAGCCCATGAGCTTACATAGGGAATCTCTGAAACAACTTAATGTGCCTTGTTAATGGCAGGATATGCTTCAGAAATGTGAGCACACAGCAAATCCACACTTTCAATATTTACCTAATTTTCACATTTGTATGTTTGTAATTTGACATATTTTTCTTTGGCTGTGGCAGACCTTGGGGTCTCAAATTTCAGCGATGCCCTGTGTGATGGCAAAATTCAGCACCCCTTCCTCTGGCATATCATTCCACATCATAATTGTGGCACCCTCAGTGGCATCCCAAATTGGTCGCACTCTGCTAAATCATCCTCTCTCTGTGGGGAGCAGACAGCCTCTGCTGGCCTTTCTGTTTTTGCTTGCATTATAGTGACCAACTCGTTTCTGCACTGCATTTGCATGTATATCGAATATCAAGCAGATAATGTTGGTTTATCTTCCTTAATTTCAGCTGACCATTATTACATCAAGCACTTCATCAACATGGTTCGTTTGTTCATCCACAGGAAAGTATCCCCCCCCCAACTATTATTCATTATACTGATGTGAAATTCTTGCCCATTTTCAATTTCAGCATTCTGGTTTCAAAGTTAATCAGCCAACTGGCTGAATATCCCCCACCAGATTTGATTATAAATGGCTGCATTGTGATAAAAGTAATCTCCACTTACTGTAGGTTATTTAGTGTTCTTGTTTTCCATTCAAAGCATCAGAGAACTGCTTATATTTTCTTGGGGGAAAATGATTGGAGTGCTTTAGCAAACCAGAATTTCTCAATCAAGAGGGGCCCTGGTTCATGCTGAAAAGACACGATTCACATGAAAACACATGAGCAGCTCTGTCAAATGTGGATTCCAAGGCTGTATTGAGGATCTGGGTTTACATGCACAGTGAATTTCAATGTTGTTACAATTAAAGGTCCCCTCTGCTGATTCTATGTAACAATAATTAGAAATCCTTTCATTTAAAACCCATTATTATCTGCTTGTCCATGCATTAAAAAGTGAAAGAATGGAACAAAACTGCTTGAGTAAAACATTTTAGCCTACTAATATAAATGTAGGTGAGATCTGCCGGTGGGTATGTCCTTGAGCAATGGAGGCGAGAAAAATCTTTTTTTGCTTTTGAAACACGTTGAAGAAGGGGGAGAAATAGCATGTTCCTCAGAATCCTTAATGAAATGAAATAACTCAAATGCTGAGTCACCAACTTTGATATCCGACAATTACTTTGTTATTCTGAGAACATCCTTTTCAACTGAGATCTAAATAGCAAAAGAATTGAAACCTTGATGGTTTCTGTACCCAGACAAGGCAGGGTGTTTTGGTTTTAAAAAAAAGTTTCTTTCAGAATCTTTTTTTATATATATAATATTTATTACTTCTCCAACATTTTAAACACTACAAAAAAAAGAACAATACAATACAACACAAAAACACTACATAACACTAACACATTAAACTAACAAAACAAAAACAGTTTAAAACACATCAAACAATTTCAATATCTTATCTTTCATTCACTTATTTCAATGACCTCCTCACACCTCCCTTTTTGTATTCCACTTCTATTAATTGTTTCAGCAATTCCTTTCCATCTTCCTCTGCTTTCTATCCTTTAATTATCTTAACAGATTCTAACCTTATTTTTCCCTTTAATACTCTATTAATCTATTTATACTTAATTCCTTATATCATTTCTACTAAAGCCATATAACTTCATTTCAACATTTTTCTAACATTCATTAATTTTACAGTATTTCTGTAAATAGTCTTTAAACTTTTTCCAGTCTTCTTCCACCGACTCTTCTCCCTGGTCTCGGATTCTGCCAGTCATTTCTGCCAGTTCCATATAGTCCATCAACTTCATCTGCCATTCTTCCCGGGTGGGTAAATCTTGTGTCTTCCAATACTTCGCGATGAGTATTCTTGCTGCTGTTGTTGCATACATAAAAAAAGTTCTATCCTTCTTTGACACCAATTGGCCAACCATGCCCAGGAGAAAGGCCTCTGGTTTCTTCAGTAAGGTATATTTAAATACCTTTTTCATTTCGTTATAGATCATCTCCCAGAATGTCTTAATCCTTGGGCATGTCCACCAAAGGTGAAAGAATGTACCTTCAGTCTAAGGTACATCTAAAAGACACAGTACAGTTTTACTTAAAGCATTTATGCAGTTTTATAACAGGCATCTGGGACAGGGGAACAGATACATTCATAACTTAAGGCATCAGGCTAAAATGCTAAAGGTTGGGTAAAGAAACTAGGAATAGGGCCTGAGGAGGTTTTGAGTCAATGAAATAACAAAATCCATGAAAGGGAACAAATTAGGTCAAGTAAGAGGATATATGGTTTTTTTGTGAGGGAATGATTTAAAGTTCACTGACAGAAATGAACACACTAAAGGTGCGGTGGGGCAGTCCCAGCAAATCCTATGGAGTTTCCCACTGAAGTGTCCGCTCTTGGGTTAGCCAGTGGGAGACCCGTTTTGTCGCCCCAGTCAGAATTCCTCACTACCAACTTCAAGACTAGGTACCTTCAGCAGGTGCCTGCTATGCAAAGTAAAATAACTGACTTTTTGTGGGGTCTGCCTTCCTCCAAAGGACTCCCATCCCTCCCCGAAATGACAACGAATTGGTTACCACAGGAACTCCCCCCTATCAGTTCTCAGTTGGAACATTGCGGGCTGGAGGGGAAAAAAACTTGACCCAGAATTCTTGGAGTATATTAACCTGTTTCATATCATCTTGTTCCAAGAATCGTGGGAAGTAGAGAGAATTGATCTAAATGGCTTTGAGCTTCTAGAACTCCCTGCCTGCCCCTCCCTGAAAGGAGGCCGCCCTAAAGGGGGCCTAATAATAGGCATCTCCCTCAACTTACATTCTAAATTTACTCTAGTACAGGCCTTGCCTCCTTACGCTCTTACCGGGCTGATTGCGGGGAAAAGATCTCACTTCTAGTTACAAATGTTTACTTGCCACCCGGGGTTCTTCCTCTGAACTGGGCTCTAAATGGGGCTCGCTAGAAGAGCATTTGCTCTCATGCTATGTCAAGTTTCCTAACACCCCGGCCATAATAGGTGGCGATTTTAATGCCCGCACAGCAGCAAATTGGGACTCGCTGACCAAAGCCAAATGGTGGGTTACCCCAAACCTTGATAATTATGATCTGGAACATATCATGAGGAGAACTTCTAAAGACCAACAAGTTAATGAGGCTGGAGTATTCCTCTACCAAATGGCCATCCGTTTAAATCTGGTCCCCCTAAATGGCACATGCCTCCCTGATATTCCAGGGGATTTCACTCACCTGAGTGTTAAATCAAACAGCGTCCTCGATTACCTGCTGGTCTCCAGTGATCTACTTAAGTGTATTTCCACCTTTAAGATCGAGAATGTACAATCTAGTGATCATCTTCCCCTTGTAGCCAAGCTTTCCCTGAATTGGCAGTTGGAGACCTATAGACATGCGACCCAGATGGTAACCAACGTATCTCTTCAAGTAAGAGGAATCAAATGGTCGGAGACCCAGGCTCAAAGGTATCAGGAATTCTTTCAAAAAGAAATCCTCGGGCCCCATCCCTACATAGGCTCTGCCTCAGATGAGCATAGCATAGTGCTGAAACGCTTCCACCATCATACGACTGACCTTACGTCCTTCTTCAGGTTACCACCCAAAATATTAAATCGAAACGAGTATACTTACGGTGCCCCTGGTATAACTCTCAGTGCAAACAAGCAAGACAGCGCCTTCGTGCTATATATAATGTATATAAGACCTCCGATGCATCTACTCTGCCAGCTAGTTATGCACAAGCCAAGCAAGTTTATAAACGCACGCAGAAAATTGCCAAACGTGAGTGGCAACATAATCGCTGGCAGGCCTTGATTACTGCTTCAAAATCACATAGATCCAGGGAATTCTGGTCTCTGATTAACAGAAGGGTGAGGAAATACCCAAGGGCAGTCATCCCTGCACCGACATGGGAATTGTTCCTGAAGAAATGTTTCTCACAGGCAGATGCTCCCTCCGACCATCTGATGCATCTGTTCTCCCACCTACCTATTTGGCCTCCCACCGATCCTGACGAAATAGCCAAGCTAATAGCCCAGCTGAAATTGGGCAAAGCCCCAGGGCCCGACCTGATCCCTGCTGAAGCCATCAAACTACACCCAAAATGGTGGGCTGGCATCTTGGCCAAAACCTTCGACGCAATCAACGCTTCTGGTATCATCCCCAAAATATGGAAGGAGGCCATTATAGTACCAATTCACAAAAAGGTTCTCCAATGGAGCCGGAAAAGTACCGTAACATCAGCCTCCTTTCGATCATAGGGAAAATTTATGCCAGCTTTTGCTGACGAAACTATCGCGATGGGTAGATGAGACTAACCAGATTGGCCACGAACAAGCAGGGTTCAGAATTAAACGCTCTACAACTGATCATGCGATAGTTCTTTACCATCTGGCACGGAAGTACTCCTCCCCCCCCGGGGCTATCTGTGTGCTGCCTTCTTAGATCTTAAGGCAGCCTTCGACAGCGTTCCTAGAAATATTCTTTGGGAGAAACTTGCGAAACAGGGCATCGATAGAAGGCTCTTATGGCTTATAAGTCAGCTCCACGAAGGTACCCTTGCCAGAGTGAGACTTACTCCTGCGGGCGACCTCACAAATTCGATACCAATAAACAAGGGAGTGCGCCAAGGATGTATATTGGCCCCCTGCCTATTCAATCTATTCATCAGCGACATGCGAGCACCCCTAGTCAACTCATCTCCAAGTACACATGCGCCTAGACTAGCGGATTACCGCTGTCCACTCCTTTTATATGCGGACGACGCGGTAATTCTATCTTATACACGTGTTGGACTAACCAGAGCTCTGAAGATCTTTGCCACGTATTGTCAACTCAACCAATTAACCATCAATCATGCTAAATCTAAGATTCTGATTTTCGCCAGAAGTCGGAGATTATACGAATGGAAGCTTGGTGGAGCAAAAATAGAGCAAGTCCTAAAATTTCAATACCTAGGAGTTATTTTTCAATACAATTTGGGGTGGAAAGCACATATTCAACACCTACTTAATAAGGCCAAAACTCTGTCATATGCGCTCCTCCGATTTTTCTTTTCGGATGGAGCTTTGCATGTTCCCTCGGCCCTAAAGGTGTTCAAGGCAAAAGTGGTTCCCGTGCTTGCTTATGCTGCCCCGCTCTGGGTCGTGATGACAGACCTTGCTCCTCTTGAGACTTTGCAAAACCAATTCCTACGTCGGCTCCTAATGCTCCCCTGTGCGTAAGCAACGCAGCCATGCGTTTAGAATTGAGGATCGCATCCTTAGAAACCTGCCTGTGGAAGCAAGTCTTCAATTATTGGTTATCATTGTGGCATAGATTACCAGACCATTACCTTGCCCAATGCTTATGGCGAGATGAATTCCCCAGCCTTTGGACCAGTAGAATTCATGCCAAACTCCTGAGCTATGGAATCTCTCCCTTAGATTCCCTAAAACTAGATCAAATCACTGCTCAAAGACTGATCCGCCAAAGACTGGATGACATCGATTTACAGCAAAATTATATGCTGGGGGGAGGTGTTTGTTCGCCCCAGAACATTGGTATCACTTTAACTTATTGCGTTCCATCATACCTCTCCTCCCTTTCGACTGTTGCCCATAGGCTGGCCTTCACCAAAGCGAGGTTTAATGTTTTTCCCTCCAATGTCCTGAGACATAGATTCTCAAAGGGCCAAACCTCCGCCATGTGCGAATGTGATAAGGAGATGCCGGAGTCGCTTCAGCACATTATGTTCACTTGCCCCTTATTTAAGGTGCCACGGGCAAACTTGTTGGGATCAATCATACAGAAATTAGAGGGTACTCCACCAAAATTCCACCTTGCCCAAATCTTGCAGGATAAGGATGCCCATACGACCCTGAAAGTGGCTAGGTTCCTGGTCGCTGTCCTTACCCAAAAGCGTCGCCAAGGAGCACCACAAGCTAATTAAGGCGTAGTATGCCATTCCATCTTATAGTAGCTTATTGTTATAGTAGTGTTTTAGCGGCTGTTTTTTTCCCATGTGCACAGGCTGTTATTTATGTCTTGTTTTTATCTGTATGGGCCTACGGCCGTAATAAATTATTATTATTATTATTATTAACACACTAAAGGGGTTTTGCCCATGAAACTTTAATTTTAGTTCAGGAAAGACAGGGAAAATACACTCATTTCCCCAACCCACACACAAATCCATTAATATGTTATTGGCAAGTGCTTGATTCATTAGAGAGATCCAGATCATTTATATAATTTGTGTGTGTGTGTGCTCATGAATGGGCTAAAATGAAGAGGTAAATGATTTTTCTTATCTCTCTAACAACATTTTAGCTTCTCGGCCCATCACAAAATTTAACCATCTAGAGCACTTTTGAGGGTCATTGCACCAAGCCTTCAGATTGCTCAGTCAGTAGACTCTTAATCTTAGGGTGTCATGAACTGGCAGGAAAATGTTGAGAAGGAAGAGGTTCCTGGCGATGGATATAGCCAGGCCTGGGTCACACTGGGGCAAGCTGAGGATGGGGAAGGAGAGGTTGGTGTTGGAAGTCCTCACAGGTGACGGAGGATTGTGAGGGGATGGGGATCAGTGATGGGGATCCAAAGCAGCAGGACCCATCACCAGAGTTGGAGGGGGGCCCATCTCCACAAAGACAGCAGGCTCAGAGGTGTAGGGAGCAGCGGACTGGGCACTCTAGGAGACTGAGGCAAACAAGGGCCCACTGCCCAGCTCCTTAGCTGGCCAGGTGGGGCTCGCTAGCTCTGAGAGGAAATGTGTGATTTCTCAGCTGGAACAGGTGAGGGTCACATGCCTCTCCAACCCCAGATGCTGCAATTAGCATGCAAAGTACAAAAGGGAAGCAGAGCTGCGGTGCTGTGTTTTCAACTGCCTGTGTCGATGAACCTTAGCTAGGATGCTCCATGATCTCTGCAGGACATTAGACATGTGGCTTGACCCTGGACTGGAGACGACATACTGACTTGCTGCCAGGTAGGCCTGGGTTCAGGATTCTGGGTCAAGGGTTTGAGCCACATGATGGGCAAAATATTTCTGCATTGCAGGGAGTTGCTCTAGACCAGTGGTGGCCAAACTCAGCCTCCAGATGTTTTCGGACTACAATTCCCATCATCCCTGACCATTGGTTCTGTTAGCTAGGGATGGTGGGAGTTGAAGTCTCAAAACACTGATCTAGATGACCCCTGTGGTCACTTCCAACTGTACACTTCTATGATTCCGATTTAGATTGCTTTTAATAATAAAGTAGACAGTTAAGCCTCCCCATAGTAAAAATGAGCAATGAACAATAATTTATTAACAAAATACTAACAAGACTTGACATAAAATAATTAACCTTTGTCTAATTCAATAAGCCATATGATAAGCCATTCTATTGTCCAATTACATAGGTAAATAGATAGATATAAAATCAGTGGCAGATAAATACTTCCTTTTGTCCAAGCATTTTAATGCATTTTTTGGCCTCAGTTGCTTTAGTTTATAGTATTTTATTGTCTTATGATGGATTGAATTCTTCTTCCATTCCATTTTGCTTTAGTATTACTATTGTGCATCACCCTGAGAGCTGTCTGGAGGAAAGGAAATTTAGAATTTTTAAAGTAAATAGAAGAAAACAATGTTAAAGGCCACTCTACTAAAGGCAGAATTTGTAAATTTTGTTTTAACTTCCGCAACTTTTCTGGTGTATTAGAAATGTGGCATTGCACTGTTTGGGTATGTGCTTCTTTCACATTCCAAGCTCTGACATTCAAATGCATTAGAATCACTGGACAAAAGATGCTGGAATTGAGAGGGACTTCGTGAAAAGCATGGCCTCCATGGGGCTATCCCTGAATAAGTTTGGCCCAACATGCCTTAGATCTGGTGTTCACCTCTATGGATGTTGGTGATCTGACATTAAGTAAAAGTGAAACCAAAGAAGTGCCATGGTCAGATCACTTCCTGGTGCAACTGGACTTCTCCACAACCCTTCCCCTCAGCAGGGAGGTGGGACCAATTCGGATGGTCCGCCCCCGCCACTTAATGGATCCAAATGGTTTCCAGAGAGTAGTAGGGGATGTTTTATCCCATGTTGGTGGCCTTTCAGCTGATTCTCTGTTGACCCGTTGGAATATGGAGTTAACCAGGGCTATTGACTGTCTGGCTCTGAAGTGTCCTCTCTGATTGCATGGAGCCCGGACAGCCCCGTGGTTTTCGCCGGAGCTGAGGGTGATGAAACAATTGCTGAGATGGCTAGAGCACCGGTGGCGGAAAACTCACTCTGAATCAGACTGGACACGGGTTAGAGCTCAAGGTTGAGCCTACCAAGTGGCAATGGCAACAGCGAAGAGGACCTTCTTCGCCGCTTCTATTGCATCTGCAGAAAACAGCAGCAGGAGACTCTTTCAGGTGGTTCTCAATCTATCGGAACCACCTTCCTCATTGGGGCCGGGTTGGGACCCCAAGATCTCCTGCAATGCTTTTGTGAAGTTTTTTGCAAATAAAGTCACTCAGATTCGGAAGGAGATAGACTCCACCATGGGAGCAAGGCCGGGGCGGGAGAGTGCTAGACTCCTCTCTAGTCATGTTATATGGGATCAATTTCAATCTGTTACCTCTGAGGATGTGGACAAGCTGCTTGGATGAGTGAAACCAACCACCTGTCTTCTTGATCCTTGTCCATCCTGATAAGAGCAAGCCGGGAAGGTCTGGGTGATGGGCTCCGTGGGGTGGTGAATGCTTTCCTCTGCGAGGGAGCCTTCCCAAACCCCCTGAAAGAGGCGGTCATTAAACCGCTTCTTAAAAAAACATCTTTAGACCCGGCCATTATGGCCAACTATCGCCCAGTCTCAAATCTTCCATTCTTGGGCAAGGTGATTGAGCGGGTGGTTGCTGAACAACTCCAAGCACGCCTGGAGGATGCAGACCATTTGGATCCCTTCCAATTGGGATTCAGGCCTCACCATGGGACTGAAACTGCCTTGGTCGCATTGGTCGATGATCTCTGGCGGGCTAGGGACAAAGGTGAGAGCTGTTTCCTAGTTCTGCTGGATCTCTTAGCGTCCTTTGACACCATCAACCATAACATCCTTCTGGACTGTCTAGAGGGGCTGGGAGCTGGGGGCACTGTTGTATGGTGGTTCCGCTCCTTTCTCTTGGACCGTGTCCAGAAAGTGGTGTTGGGGGATGCGTGTTCAGACCCCTGGGCTCTCACTTGTGGGGTGCCTCAGGGTTCTGTCCTATCCCCCATGCTTTTTAATATTTATTTGAAGCCACTGGGAGAACTCATCAGGGGGTTTGGGCTGGGTGTTCATCAGTATGCAGATGACACCCAGCTCTACCTCTCTTTTAAATCAGAACCAGTGAAGACGGTGAAGGTCCTGTGTGAGTGCCTGGAGGCGGTTGGAGGATGGATGGCGGCTAGCACATTGATGCTGAATCCTGACAAGGCAGAAGTACTGTTTTGGGGGGATGGGGCGGGCGGGTGTGGGGGACTCCCTGGTCCTGAATGGGGTAACTGTGCCCCTGAAGGACCAGGTGCGCAGCCTGGGAGTCATTTTGGACTCACAGCTGTCCATGGAGGCGCAGGTTAATTCTGTGTCCAGGGCAGCTGTCTACCAGCTCCACCTGGTATGCAGGCTGAGACCCTACCTGCCTGCTGACTGTCTTGCCAGAGTGGTGCATGCTCTAGTTATCTCCCTCGTGGACTACTGCAATGCGCTCTACGTGGGGCTACCTTTGAAGGTGACCCGGAAACTGCAATTAATCCAGAATGCGGCAGCTAGACTGGTGACTGGGAGTGACCGCCGGGACCACATAACACCGATCCTGAGAGATCTGCATTGGCTCCCAGTACGTTTCCGAGCACAATTCAAAGTGTTGGTGCTGACCTTTAAAGCCCTAAACGGCCTCGGTCCTGTATACCTGAAGGAGCGTCTCCACCCCGATCGTTCAGCCTGGGCACTGAGATCCAGCACCGAAGGCCTTCTGGCAGTTCCCTCATTGTGAGAAGTGAGGTTACAGGGAACTGGACAGAGCGCCTTCTTGGTGGTGGCGCCCGCCCTGTGGAACGCCCTCCCTTCAGCTGTGAAGGAAATAAGCAGCTATGTTCTCTTTAAAAGACATCTGAAGGCAGCCCTGTTTTGGAAGTTTTTAATATTTAATGCTGTATTGTTTTTAATACTTGATTGGAAGCCGCCCAGAGTGGCTGGGGAAACTCAGCCAGATAGGCGAGGTATAAATAAATTATTATTAGTAGTAGTAGTAGTAGTAGTAGTAGTTATGCCAGGTTTGTTGTATAATCTTATCACAAGTTATGTCTGCTGGGCAGAGATAAGATCACTGGTAAATCCTCCCTGCACTGATTGAGTTTTAAAATGTGCCATTGCTATGCTTACGCATTTGCACCAGTGAAATCAGAATGGGAAGAAGGGTGGGGTCGACAGAGCAGGTGCTTAGCAAGAGTGGATTGGAGCTCTTGTAGGAGGGTACACTGGGGGAGGAAGAGGAGTGGGGGGGAGCGCAGCGCCCCCAGTAGTGCGATCCTGGTGAGGTGCCATCACAGCTGCCCCCTGCCCTTGCTGGGTGCCACGCCCCTGCAGGTGGCGTGTCATGCCCCCAGGACGCGTGCCAACCCTGCCCCTGCCTGCTCACCGCCTCCCGGTGCCAGAGCATGAAGCTCCACCACTGGGAGGGTGTGGTGTGGAAAACTCTCTTTAGAGTATGAGCTCCTGTGTTGAGAAGAGGGAGTGTTTGTTGATGCTGCTACATTGCCTTGTTTCTACAGCGGTGCTTCTTAATTTACCAGTCAGAGAACATGGGATTAAAACAATGTTATACTGGTGTTTACCAGCCATGAACTGCTAGGCTGCCCAAAGAGGGGGTGAAACTGACACTGTGGTTTAGAAAATAAATCTATTCATCTGCCACTGGGTGGGAGAGAGAATTGATTCCCATATTAATCAACACAACTGACCATTCTTTTCATTTATTAATCGTGGGCACCTGTCATGCCAGGTGAAGCAGAAAACATTTATGAATTCACCCCAAATGCTGAGCTAAAAATGACAGCTTCTCAGTGTGAATTTTGCATAAAAGTTGCTTGAAGATAACACTTGGAGAAATCAAAAAGAGATACTGGCTGTTTCAGACATTCTGCTCCTTCTGCTGGGGAAGCACAGCACAGCTTGTCAGGAAAATTATGACAACAAAGAATTCTAGAGATACATCTGAAGGATCCTGGTATATGTAGTTTTTCAGTGGGGACTTTTATATATATATAAAATGCCACCTAAATGAAAATGCTGTCCTTTTTAGTTGTCTGAAATCCCTCTCCGATTCCTGCTGGAAGCCCAAGAACTCTAGAACTTGAAAGGAAGCCAAGGGACAACTAGTCAGGCAACCTTGTTCTCCTACGCTGCTTTAGATGCCATGGCACAAATTCGCTGCTACAGCAAATGCTACATCCTATGCTAGGCAACCGCTACCACTGCTTTCTGCATAGGAGTGAATTCTATGTACCCACATTGGAGGTGTCATGCTGTTACCCATTAGCGCCAAAGTGTCTAGTTAAGTGAACTCATTAGTGATTTGGAGTTTTCCATGGCTCTCTCTCACACACACTCCAAAAAAAAATGATCAAGCTTTTCAAGAGATCCTATCAGATGCTTCAAAAGCAAAAAAAAAGAAAGAAAGTGAAGTGTTCAATACAAACTTGAAATACTCAAATAGGTGAAATGACCACATTTTCCAAGCAAAAAATACCTTAACAATAAACGGGGAGGGAGAAGG